TTGGAAGATCTTCTTCTTCTTTTTTATCTCCACTCAATCATATCAGGGTATCAAGCTTGTAAAGCTTGACAACCATCATGACTGAGTGAAGTAGAATGTGTCTACCTTTGTCAATAAGACTGGGAGCACTACTCAGTGGCAAGCCACTGACTTAGCTCCAAAAGAAATGGCCTCTGACATGAGGAACAGATACCATGTGCAGCTGCTCCTAACATGGAGTACAAACTCTGCTCATCCTGTATCCATAGATTAGGAGCCCTTACAGGGCCAGCTGAACCCAGGTTTTTTTAGCGAGCTTGTTACTGCTCCATCTCCTCCTTTTTCATTTGGGCTTATGATCGGCAAAGGCAGAGTTTTATGAAGCAATAAAGTAATTTGATGGTTTATTTGGAAGATGATAACAGAGAATATACAAAATCAATGATTATTTACACAATACATAACACTTAGATGAGAGCTAAACATTTCTTGTCACAGCAATGGAAGAGTAGCACAAAACTCACCTTTCTTTAAATATAAAGAGTCCTCCTAGGTGAAAGAGAACGGTGGCTGAGAACAGGGCGAGAACTTCAAACCTCTCGTACCTGGAACAACAGTAGAGACACAATTAGGTATACAAGGTGTTATATTTTTACTTCAATCTGTAACTCCGCCTTTGCCGGTCCCAAGCCCGGATAAAAAAGGAGGAGGGGAGCAGTAACAAGCTTGCTAAAACCTGGGCTCAGCTGGCCTGGCTGATAGTACCCTGCAAGGGCTCCTAATCCAGGAATACAGGATGAGCAGCGTACAATGTAATCCATTGTTGATACCAGCACCTAGCATCCTGACATTGTAATCCATTGTTGATGCCAGCACCTAGCATCCTGACATTGTAATCCATTGTTGATGCCAGCACCTAGCTTCCTGACATTGTAATCCATTGTTGATGCCAGCACCTAGTATCCTGACATTGTAATCCATTGTTGATACCACCACCTAGCATCCTGACATTGTAATCCATTGTTGATAACAACACCTAGCATCCTGACATTGTAATCCATTGTTGATACCAGCACCTAGCATCCTGACATTGTAATCCATTGTTGATACCAGCACCTAGTATCCTGACATTGTAATCCATTGTTGATACCAGCACTTAGCATCCTGACATTGTAATCCATTGTTGATACCAGCACCTAGCATCCTGACATTGTAATCCATTGTTGATATCAGCACCTAGCATCCTGACATTGTAATCTATTGTTGATACCAGCACCTAGCATCCTGACATTGTAATCCATTGTTGATACCAGCACCTAGCATCCTGACATTGTAATACATTGTTGATACCAGCACCTAGCATCCTGACATTGTAATCCATTGTTGATACCAGCACCTAGCATCCTGAAATTGTAATCCATTGTTGATACCAGCACCTAGCATCCTGACATTGTAATCTATTGTTGATACCAGCACCTAGCATCCTGATATTGTAATCCATTGTTGATACCAGCACCTAGCACCCACAGTCCATTGTTGATTAGTCAAGCTATTTCATCAGATAAAAAAAAATAACTGGTAGATTTGGAAGATATCTCATGAATTTATTTTTAAATCAGGTGAAATCAGAGCCTGCCATAGACTGATAAATGCCATAGTCTGAAATAATGGTATCCAGAGGTGGGCATTCTGAATTTATTTGAAGAATTGTGGCTTTGTTACTAACCAGAGTCTGTTAGAGATTGAAGAGTTGGTCAAGATATTGTGCATAGATTTTTACGTTCATTCTGACAATAGATGAATCTTTTTAGATGATCAATTTCTCCCAAGCCCGGATGAAAAAGGAGGAGGGGAAGCAGTAACAAGTTCACTAAAAAACCTGGGTTCAGCTGGCCTGGCTGATAGTTACCTGTAAGGGCTCCTAATCCAGGGATACAAGATGAGCAGCGTTTGTACTCCATGTTAGGAGTTGCTGCACATGGCATCTGTTCCTCATGTCAGAGGCGGCTATTTCTTTTGGAGCTAAGTCGACCTGCCACTGAGTAGTGCTCCCAGTCTTAATGAAAAAGGCAGATGCATTCTCCTTCACCAAGTCATGATGGTTTACCAGCTTTACAAGCTTGATAACTTAATATAATTGAGTGGAGATAAGAAAGAAGAAGAAGAACAGACATTTCTAACCAATATGCATTATTTCAAGAACTTTTGAAGGGCTTTTAGTGCAAAATATAGCTAGATAAGTAAAAATGTCATCAAATAGAGATTACCAAGCTTTAAAATAGATTTGATAAATCACAGGCGAGATATAACAAGGATTCCAGACTTACCCATAGGTGTAGTTGAGGTTTGCTGTCTGTTTCTCCACCCAGAGGCTGAGAATGCTGGCCATCAAGCTGTGGTGGTACACACATTTGCTTATTGGCATATATACATATTGGCACATGCAAATTTTTGTTTTACATACTCCTCCTTAGAATATATACAAGTAAAACCCTGCTAATACAAGCCCCAGGATATAGCAAACCTTCACTTATAACAAACCTGAAACAATATCCATTTTGTATTTTATGATACAGTAAACTATAAACGAACCATGGTTATAGTGAATCAAAGATTCAGTTTAATTGAGGTTCAAACTTATGGGCCAAATATATAAGGGCCAAACCAATGGTATAATGTTGTTATGGCTCTTTCTTTATGACCATCTTCTCATTGACAGAGTAACAGCCTGGGAGAGTGTTTCACTGAGCAAAGAGAGGACTCACCAGAGGACGTCGAAGAAGAGGAGATAACTAAATGCTGATAGTCCTGGCAGCAACAAGAGCTGTGAGGTTGGGCAGTGAGATGGTGGTGACAGATTTGTTACCTAAACTGTTGGTCCTGTGGCTGAGGTAGAGGACTGTTCCCAGACATAGGATGTTGAGTCCCAGAAGGATCACGTAAGTCCTGCCCTACACACAGAGTCCATATCCTGTTGTTGTTATTGTTGAGTAAGTCCTGCCCTACACACAGATACAAGGTTGTTGAGTCCCAGCAGGATCACGTAAGTCCTGCCCTACACACAGAGTCCATATCATGTTGTTGTTATTGTTGAGTAAGTCCTGCCCTACACACAGATACAAGGTTGTTGAGTCCCAGCAGGATCACGTAAGTCCTGCCCTACACACAGAGTTCATATCCTCTTGTTGTTATTGTTGAGTAAGTCCTGCCCTACACACAGATACAAGGTTGTTGAGCCCCAGCAGGATCACGTAAGTCCTGCCCTACACACAGAGTCCATATCCTGTTGTTGTTATTGTTGAGTAAGTCCTGCCCTACACACAGATACAAGGTCCATATTCTGTTGTTGTTATTGTTGAGTAAGTCCTGCCCTACACACAGATACAAGGTCCATATTCTGTTGTTGTTATTGTTGAGTAAGTCCTGCCCTACACACAGATACAAGGTCCATATCCTGTTGTTGTTATTGTTGAGTAAGTCCTGCCCTACACACAGATACAAGGTCCATATTCTGTTGTTGTTATTGTTGAGTAAGTCCTGCCCTACACACAGAGACACAGCTCTTGTGCCACTGTCTTGGGTCAGTTAAAGTGGCACACTGTGAAAAATTGAATCCCATTAAACCACAAGTAATCTATGGAGGGGGACCATGTGTATGAAAGGTACTATGGAGTCTATCCATGGCAGAGTTCTCACCTTGGAATTGTTGCAGATGTCTATGAGGTGATTACGCAGCTGGATGAACCAGTAGGATGGCGGCTTCTTCAACGGCTGAAGAGCTCCCTACACCATTGTTTCTTGTTAGAAGGATACAGTAGGGTGGATATGTTGCATGCACATGGTGGCTGTTATTTGCATGTGAAACTGTGAACAAAGGGTTCGAGGGCCAAAGGGGGGGGGGGAGTCCTATTGGAGCGTAGGATGGGTTAAGTCCGAACGGAAGGGCTCGGTCAGCAACCTTGCCATGAACTCTCGGAGACACCTGTGGGTTTGATTGGTCGACCCCATGGAGCCAGACCATAATGGCGGGTGCGAGGGGCCAAACAATGGCCGCTTGGTGCATGGAGAATGCATCATTCCTTCTGGTTAGGTGACCTAGAATGCAGCAATGGGTATGCTAACGCATGCCGGTTTATGGACCGAAAGGTCTGGGTGGCCACTGCTCCAAGGATGTTATTTGCATATGTATCTCTTGATACAACATGTATTATAGTGTGTGTGTATTTTAGGTGTTTATTTAGGCGATAAGTTACAATTTGGATTATAGATTATAAACACAAGGTAATAATACCAAATCCAAATTAAATAAATAGTGTGTGATGTTTCGGTAACAGCGTTGTTACCATCTACAGACAAAAGTACTGAATGAGAAATTTTACCACAGCAATGTTTTACATTCATATCAGTAACTATTTAAAACATGCTGTGGTAAAATTTCTCATTCAGTACTTTTGTCTGAAGATGGTAACAACACTGTTACCGAAACGTCACACACTATTTATTTGTTTGGATTTGGTCTTTATAACCTTGTATTTAGGTGTGCTATAGGGGTAGTTTGTTATTTTAAAAATCACAAAGTTCGTTATAACAGTAGTCATTTCAATGGTATGGAATTGGGATTTATCTTTGGTTCATTATATAGAAAGCTTCGCTATATCCTGGGTTTGTATTAGTGGGGGGTTTTACTACATATATATATATATATATATATAAATGTAGGAGAGTTATTCTTTTTATTGCTTATCCCTAGTACACGTGGTACAGGCCATGCTAATCATTTTTTTTTTTTTTTTTTTGCTTATCCCTAGTACACGTGGTACAGGCCATGATAATCATGGTGGGTAGTTAGCGACTGCTTTTTACTGTAAGCGCACCACATGTCTACACATGTGAAAAGCAGTTCGACTTTGCACTTACAAATGCCAGAGCCCCGTTTGGTTACTTGCACTCGCTGGTGGGGTTGGACTTTTGCAAGAATCGGGGGCCATTGGAGCATTTTTTTTTTTTTTAAACAGAAAAAGTGTCCAATGCGGGAATCGAACCCGGGTCCTAGTGGTCGAAAACCAAATGGTTTAACCAGCCTTCCACCGACCCCCTATGCTAATCATGGTGGTTAGAAGTAGGCGACTGCTTTTACTGTAAGTGCACCACATGTCTACACATGTGAAAAGCAGTTCAACTTTGCACTTATAAATGTGCCAGAGCCCCGTTTGGTTACTTGCACTTGCTGGTGGGGTTGGACTCTTGCAAGAATCGGGGGCCATTGGAGCATTTTTTTTTAAACATAAAAAAAGTCACCAATGCGGAAATCGAACCCGGGTTGTAGCGGTCGAAAACCAACGGTTTAGACCATCCTTCCACCGACCCCCTTTATATTAGGTAGTAACATAACCCAGGTTCCTGGAGCATAACCTTAGATCACCAACTACCCAGTTCTTTATATTATTCTAAATGGTATATTCTATATTTAATCATTATATATCTCTCTCTTTTTTTAACCATATTTATTTATTTATAGATATTTATTTTTAAAATAAATTGGCCTATATGAAATTCTTTACAGTAGAACCTCAATGAGAGGACACCTCTCTACATAAAGCAGTTTTCATCACCATAATTGCCGTTTTTGCTAATTAGCAACTCTCCGATAAGAGGAGATTTTTCCCTAAAAAAACAATTTGGCTCTTCAACTAGGTGTTGTCCTTTACAGAGATGTCAGCTACTGATAAGGTACGATTTGGATTATAGATTAAAAACAAAAGATACAAAGACTAAATCCAAATTAATGGAAGTTTTACCGAAACATCGCAAACATTTCAATAATTTGGATTTAGTCTTTTTAAACCTTTTGAGGTGAGCTACTGTAAGAAGTAGGTTCGATTACAATCTCTCTTATCAGACTCTATGTGTATGCACAGCATGTGTGTGTTGAAACAAAGGTTCAGCAGACAGTGTGCATGTGCAAATTGTATAGAAGAATTGACAGGCTTGCATATACACTCATGGACAAAACTTAAGGAAATTGTACCTTTCAGCATGTATATCAGGATTCAGACAATAACTCTGGAAGATACACTCATGGACAAAACTTAAGGAAGTTGTACCTCTCAGCATGTATATCGGGATTCAGACAATAACTCTGGAAGATACACTCATGGACAAAACTTAAGGAAGTTGTACCTCTCAGCATGTATATCGGGATTCAGACAATAACTCTGGAAGATACATTCATGGACAAAACTTAAGGAAGTTGTACCTTTTAGCATGTATATCGTGATTCAGACAATACCTCTGGAAGATACATTCATGGACAAAACTTAAGGAAATTGTACCTTTCAGCATGTATATCGGGATTCAGACAATAACTGAAAGATATACTCATGGACAAAACTTAAGGAAGTTGTACCTTTTAGCATGTATATTGTGATTCAGACAATACCTCTGGAAGATACATTCATGGACAAAACTTAAGGAAATTGTACCTTTCAGCATGTATATCGGGATTCAGACAATAACTGAAAGATATACTCATGGACAAAACTTAAGGAAGTTGTACCTTTTAGCATGTATATCGGGATTCAGACAATAACTCTGAAAGATACACTCATGGACAAAACTTAAGGAAGTTGTACCTCTCAGCATGCATATCGGGATTCAGACAATACCTCTGGAAGATACATTCATGGACAAAACTTAAGGAAATTGTACCTTTTAGCATGTATATCGGGATTCAAACAATAACTCTGAAAGATATACTCATGGACAAAATTTAAGGAAGTTGTAACTTTCAACATCTATATCTGTATTCAGTCAATAACTCTGAAAGATATTACATACACAGTGACCTTTATCGAAGACACGAGATAACCAAGTGTGAACAAAATTGCCTCTGTCTCGATAAGGCACAATTTGGATTATAGATTATAAACACAAGGTAATAAGACCAAATTAATAAGTACAACAACAACAACAAAAAGCCTTTATTTAGGGCCACTCGCCATATACAGGATTCGCCAGTTCACAAGGGATAGGGAGAACACTCTGAGGCCTTTTTCCGGGATATAGTCTTGTGGAATCCAAATATCGCCATCGCTATATACCTATTCTTTGATATTTCATTAATCAGTGCCGGAAATGAAGGACAAAGTTGCCCCGTTTTATCATTTAGTTTTCGTCTTTCCTCAGACAGAGCAGCACAGTCAAATAAGTAATGCAACATCTCCGTTGTTATTCCTGATCCACAGAAAGTGCATTTCAGGTCTTCACGCCTCAATAAAATCAAATGGTGTTCTCTGAAAAAAATTGAAAGGGTTCTAAATTGTGCAATTAATCTGATGATAGGAAAAGGGAGTTGAGTTAAGAAGTATTCTTCGGTGGTAAAGGTTGTATATATGTCTCTATAGTGGGAATATAACTTTGATTGGGTTATTCTTGTTAGGTCGTTTTGTATTGTTTGCTCTATCGCAGTTCTTAATATTCCAGGGATAGCATTCCTTAGTGAGTCAGGATCATTACAATAAGTAAGCCACGAGGATCCGTTATTATTAAGTAAATTGCTTAATTGTTTTATAAAACCGATGGGCGCACCTGTAGCACAGGATAATTGCCTCATTCTAGTTAAACAAATTCGAGGCAGTCTATTAGTATCCATACTCAGCACCCTCAGCCAATATTTCAAGGTCAATTTCAGAGCTGTTATTATTAATGAGACGCGGCCTGTTTCTGGTCTTATTATGTATCCTGGTGTATATCTAGGCAAATTCAAGAACCTACGAATAAATGTATCTTGTATATGGTCTAATAAATCTTTATACTCTGTTGCCCAAATTGGAGCAGCATACATCAAAACAGCCATCACAATTGAGTCAAACAGTTTCATTGCAGAGTTTAGTGAATTAATTTTTGATTTCGCCAATATTGGGGTTGTAGCATTTATTGCCGCAAGTGCTTTTCCTTTGAAAAAGTTTGCGGCTTGAGTGGTTTTAGTTGTACTGACCAGAGGGTATCCCAAGTAATTATATCTTCTTGTTACCGTCAGAGGTTTACCATTCCAGTACCATCTATCTTCTCTTGAGGGTTTACCACCATTGCGAAATACCATAACCTTCGATTTGGACTCGTTCAGTGTCATTTCGTTCACACCAAGATATTCCTTCAATATATTAATCTTTTTTTGGAGGTTTACCCTCGACTCCCCTATAATAGCAATATCATCTGCATACATCAGCAGGTGAACATCACCAAATTCCGGAAGGTATACACTCGTCAGATCTGAGTTGTCATACATTTTAATCAGGTCCGTCATAAATAATATAAAAAGTAATGGCGATAGTGGCTCTCCTTGTAAAACGCCCGAATGTATCTTAATATTTTCTGTAATTGAACCCCTCCATCTGACTGCCACAGTCGCCTGTTCGTAGTAATTTCTAATTGCATGTATAAATTGATAGCTCACGCCCAGATTGGTTAATTTCTTCCAGAGTAATGAGTGAGGAACTGTGTCAAATGCTTTTCTCAAATCAACAAAAAATACATATAATTTTCCTCTCTTTTTCCTCAGTGAAAGTTGTATTAGAGAGGTCAATGTGAATATCAGGTCCACACACGATCGGCCCCTTCGGAAACCCGCCTGATTTTCTGGAATGACGTTTCTTCTTTCTACCCATTCATTCAGTCTTGATCTTAGTATTGTTGTAAAAAGTTTCGAAAAATTACTTATCAGTGCTATACCACGGTAATTTGAAGGGTTGTCTTTGTCACCACTTTTAAAGATTGGGTGTATGATCGATTTAGTCCATATTTTGGGATAGTGTCCCATTATCAGAGCTCTATTGTAAAATTGTTCTAATAAACCCATGTATGAGTCTGGGAGTACTTTTATTATTTCATTGGGGATGTCATCAGGTCCACTTGCCTTGTTATTTTTCAAATCTCTGATTGCCCTGCCTATCTCTTCAGAAGTTATCTCTGGATCAAGTATTGGGTCGCTCGGCGAGATCCTCACATCTGTATTACAGATCTTCTCTTTTTCCTCAATACTCATTAATTCGCAATAAAATTCGTGCCATTCCTGTACAGTAATTTCTCCTTGAATTTTTGTTGCTCCTTTAAATAGCGCAATGGTCTTCCAAAAGGACTTTGAATCTTTAATATTTCTCAATATTTCTTGTTTTTCCTGAATATATTTCCTTCTTTTATCATCTAATAAACCGAGATATTTCTTTCTATGGAGAGCATAGCTTTCAAGGTCTTCCTTCCTGTTGGTTCTACGGAATTCCTTCAGACTTTCTTTCGTTAGCTTTTTCATATCGTAACAGTTTTTGTCAAACCATGGCTTAGATTTTTCGGTGGCACCCTTAGTTGAGTACATTATTCCTGATGTTGACATTGCCTCGGTAATTCTTTGAGTGAAAGTATTTACGGAGCTATCGAGATTTGATATTTTTACTACTTGCAATTCCTTTAATTCCTGTTTAAATGTCTTAATTCCCCAGCTGTCCATCTGTATCTTGTAACACCATATTCTTCTCCCTTAGATTTGTTTTCATAGGTGTTTTGGACTGTTAACTTCAGGATAAGAGGAAGGTGATCTGAGTACATCTGGGTTTCTATCCTGAAGTCTGATATTTTTTCCAGTATTCCTTGGGAAACTATGCAGTAATCAATAGTTGATGAGCCTCTCTCCGAAACAAATGTAAAGTCACCCTCTCTGTCTCCTGTTGATCGTCCGTTGATTATTGTCAGCGAATTATCCTCGAGAAACTCAAGGAGTCCTTCAGCCAGTGGTGAAATCACCAGATCTCTTGCTTTTCTTTCGGAAACTAAAGGGAGTTGAAGATTTGTTGGATTATACAGTCCCCCGAGCCCTCCAGTTCTAATATTTAAATCCCCAATCAGAATTAGTTCTTTCCCGTCAGTTATCTGTTTTTCCATATATTTAGTTAATCTAACTAAGTTGTTCTGGTACAGTTCGTTTGGAGGGAGATATACAAATATCAAGCAGGTGGTGGGTTTGTCGGTTCCTATGTTTTGTGATAAAAAAATCGATATCCAGATGTTATCCTTTTCTGTACTGTGCAACCTGTAATGCCCCCCTTTTTTGACGCCCACA